GACATACTGTCCAAATGGGGAAAAAAATTTCTGTGCCCTTTTGAGGTGTTCTTTAAGAAGGAACAGTTCCTCCCTGTTAGCCCACACTCCAAATGTTAGATGTATAAATAAAAACTGGCTGTGTACTCCCTCATCAGTTTTATTTTGAGATTTTTTTTTTCTTACTTTCAGAACATTGGATTTTTTTAGTTATTGTTCCATAATTGTTACCCATAAAAACTCTGGAGGAAATTCAGTAATTCCAAAACTAGAAAAGTGTTAATATTTATTGTTAGGCAAATGTTATGGCTGCTTAAAAATATTAACATATCTCAGTTCCTAGGTCTACAGTCTGCTGTGTGACTGGATATTTCTTTTATTTCAGACCCCAGAAATAATTGGACCTTCAGGAACCTCAGGCTGAACTTGGTGAGTATCTCAAGATAGTGTAGAAATAAATGGAACAGTTTCAGTGAGATGCACAGATATCTTCTCAAAGTCTTTCCTTTTGATGGACACATATGCTTGTTAAACTACTGACTTGCCTTAGTTTCAAGGACTTTTGTTTTTAGGGTTGGTGGTAGTTGGTTATAACTGTGGTTTTGACAGTTCATTTTATGCAAAGAGCTAAAGGAAGTGTGCAAAACAGAGAAGAAATCAAAAAGACCTTAAATAAACCAGTTCTTTGCAGTATAAAACAGCGAAATTCTTAGCCTATGAGATGTCCATAACTACCATGTTTCTTTACCCATTTGGTGCTGTGACAATGAAATGAGAAATCCCAAAGTACTGGCAGAATCTTAGAGCAAAAGCCTTGTGGAACTTTGAAAGAACTGGGTTTGTCCAGACTGTGAGGCAGCAAGAGGTGACAGATGAGCATTACAGCAACTTTTCATGCACTTGAAAACTTGCAAAAGGGTTGGTGATTTTTGTCACTGCAGAAGGAAGAGTTTTTACTGGCTTCAGAGACCAGATGACTTAGTGGCATTTTAGGAAAAGCTTTCTCACAAGATATGTTAGAGGTTGGAATAGATTGCCAAGAAACCCTAATGGCTGACAAAGGGAAAGTTTTTAAAGTTTCCTTAGTGTGTCTCAAGGGTGTGAACCATGGGATAAAGTGAAAGAAGTGAGCTCTGTCCAATTCCAGTGTTTCTATTTCATAAATGCTGTGGGGTTAAATGATCTTCCCATAAATTAATTCTTGGAACTGATGTTTTGAAGATGTTTGTGTGTATGAACACTGGAAGTTGACAGTCATGTTAGGAAGTGGGTTGATGTAAACACAGGCTGCTGTCAAAGAGGGACATGTCTTAGCTGCCCTTTTCAGGCTGGTTTTCAATTCAGTGGGGTGACAAATATGCACAGTTTAGATGAAGGCAAATCTGTCCCTTTTGCAGCAGCAGCTGCTCAGTGTGACCATGGAACAGGAGCTTAAGGCTCTGCAGCCAAGGGATGGTCACTTATTGGGGTGATTGATACTACACAAATGGACCTAGGGCCTTGTTCAGGAAACAACAGCATAATGCAAGACAGTGGAATGTCTTCTATAGCAAGATACCACGTTTTATATTATTAAATTGGAGTATTTGGTATTTAGTTCTGTCCTGTGGGCTTTAGCAAACATGCAAATTAAGCAACTCCAGTTTTGAAATTTCAAAAAAATGATAGCTGGAGAGAGGTAAGCCACTAATAATGAAGTCAGACAGAGTACATGTCCTGCTTCAAATGGGGCTTTACCTCCAGCTCTGTATCATTTGCAAAATTTACCAGTGATGGTGAGAAAATGAGTATAGAATTCAGTATAATCACAGTAGGACATTATCACAGTGTCCTCTGCTCTAGTGTTGAAAAATTCGTATTGCCAGCAAGAATCATGTTTTGCAGGGGGAGAAAGTCCAAAGGAGGTAGAAGATAGAGGAGAACTCTTCCATGTGTTATTGGGTCTGGCAGAGCTGGAGTTCATTTTCCCCCCAGCAGCCCCCAGAGCTGTGCTGTGCACTGGCAGCTGTAGAGCTGCCCATGAGACAGCAGGGTTCTGGCTGCTGCTGAGCAGCGCTGGCACGGTGACATTGCTGTCACTCCAGCATCTTCCCCTCTCCCGGAGGGTGGGGCTGGGCAAAATCCTGGGATGGAACATAACCAGGACAGCAGACCCACTGACCACAGGGATATTCCATACCATGTGGTGCCTGCTCAGATACTGAAGCTAGGGAAAAGGAGTAGGGAGGGGGGACATTTGTTATTTACAGTGTTTATCCTCCGGAGCAACCACTGTGTGCTGAAGCCCTGCCTCCTGGGAAGTGGCAAGACATCACTCACTGATGGGAAATAGATAATAAAATCTTTGTTTTTTTCCTTTGCTTGTGTGCACACCATTTTTTTTCCTTTTGCTGTAGTAACATGTCTTTTCTTGACCTACAAGGGTTTTTTTCCATCTTATTTTGCTGGGGAGGGGTGTGATAGAGCAGCTTGATGGGCATGTGGCACCCAGCCAAGGTCAATCCACCACAATTTGCTATAGCATTTTAGTCATTTGCAATGCTACAGGGTAGATGTAAAACCAATTTAGATAAAATAGCACCTTTGACATGAAACTTTGGATTAAGCAGGACACTGAAAAATTAGGTAATCAGAGACTGGACCACTCAGTGCAACATAAACTGCAGCCAGCCTAAACTTCATGGAGTTCCAGGAAAAAGTCTTCAGTTTCTTACTCTTAGGTCACCTCATTCCCACTTCTGATTCTGTACTTGCTGATTCAGTTTGAAACCTTTTTCCTGTAAAGACCTCAAGATTCCTGTAATGTATGTCAGCTGCCAGGTGTCTCCTAAGTCACAGATATTCCTGCAGATATTCCAGCAGAAGCTAAGATACAGTGTGCACTTATTCCTCTGGCACAGTGGCTTTGAGGAATAATGGAACACTACTCTGCATCCCAGTTTTCCAAATCTCACTCTTGGTTGTTAGCAGTTGTGTAAATTCAGTGTCAAAGGCTACATTTACAATTTTCTCAGAGAGCTTAGAATCTCTTCAGGTTTGGCTGTGCTGCTGAAGCTAGAAGGAACTAAATAAGCTTTGAATGGATTTGTTGGTTTTCTTAGCTTTTATAGAGATGGGGCAACTGAGAGATGTTTTAAAAGATTTTATTCTGTTGTCACTTTTGATGCAGGGTGAGACATAAGAGACATAAAACTCAATGCTATTCCATCAGAAGCTAACTTAATTTCTAGTTACAATACTTTATAAATGTTTTTCAGCCTATTAGCTTTTACCACACAATGCTGCTATTACTTCTAACACTAATCACCTAGATTTTTACCCTACGTAGTCTTATTACAATCTATCTTTCACAGTTCTAATTGTCTAAAATATCTAGTCTTTTTACAAAACCATATTTTAAAACTTACTATAACTTTTTAAACTTTTTTCTAGTTCTCTTTCTCTCAACAATGTTGTCTCTATTCCATGACCTTCCTAAATCAACACACCTTATTTCAGTGTTTATATACAAATATACAAAATTATATGAACTTTCTGTCAAGTTTTAAAAATTCTTTATAAATCCATTTCTTACATGGATGGTTTTTAGGGGTACTTAGATGTGTAAAGATGCAAATAAATGCTTCTATGGGCTCTTTTAAATCCCAGCATTTCAGGGACAGTTGGTGGCCTTTTTGCAGCTTCAGGCAATTTTTTTCCCCCTAACCTGCCTCTGTTTGGCAGCAAATGCTGGTGTCCAGCATACAGATAATCAGTTTAAAAGAGGCTTCTGTGGCCCAGCTAATTCCTGCCTGGCCCAAAGGGGCTCTGGGAGTTCCCAGGATCTCAGCTGCGTGAGGGGCTGATGGCACCAGCATGCCCAGGGACTCCATCTGTAGCTGCTGCTGCAATGGAATTGTCACCTGCCTTCACCCCTCGAGTCTCACACTCTTCACTTAAAAATGCTGTAGGAGGCAGGAGGCTGGTGGCAGGGAGATCAGACTTCACATGTCACAGTCAGTGTTTGGTCACAGCTGTGCTTTTAGAAAAACACCCTGAACTGGACCATGTGCGTGGCTGTGCTGGAGCTGCCTGTGGTTCCTGGCTCTGGTCCTGGCCCAAGCCTTACCCAGGAGAGAGCTGGGCAGTGCCAGCATTCTGTGGGAACAGTGGTAGTGGTTAAAAATCTCAGCTGACACAGGCCATGGTGTTTGCCATGCTTTATTTGCTGGCACTGTGAGAAATAGCTTTTCCTCGAGCAGATGAACATGCAGAAACATACTCTCCATGTCTCCAATATGCCTTGAGCTGTGGAGCCTGAAGGTGTTACACTTAATGAGGCATTACAGCAAGTAAATGCCAGTGCCAGCAAGAGAAAATATGCCTTTTAAATTTAAAATATCTGAGTATTTTCCATTTACTGACAGATTGGTATGGGGGAACAACAAAGTCGATTAATCTCTGAATGAAAGCTTGGTGTCCGTTAAATATCTCAAAGAGTTCAAGACCTGTCAAAGGTTATACTCAAACAGTTTGCCTCGCTGCTCCCACGGAGCTGTAAATCAGTTTGACCACTAATACTAAGTGGCCTTCTAACAGAAATCATCGTGGGCAAGCGTGGAGCGCGACCCGGGATGAGGGCGGCGAGCAAAGCTCCGGAGCTTCAGGGGGACCCACCCGGGGAGGGACGTAGCGGTATCTCCCGGGAGCTGTGAGCGGTCTTTACGCACTCCGCGTTTCTCACCGGCGAGGGGTCGGACACGGCGGCAGCCCCCTTTGAGCGGGGGCAGGGGCCGGGGGAAGGCGCCGCCAGCCGCGGCCGGGCCGAGCGCTCTCGGGGCTGTCAGCCCGCGGCGCGGCGCGGCCCCAGACGATGGCGCTGCAGCCCCGGCGTTGCGGCGCGGCGGCGGCCGGCGGGGGTCGCTGCGGGGCGGGCCGGCGGCGGCGCGGGGCTGCGGTGCGCGGGAGGCGGCGGCGGCGGTGCCGCACAGCCGCTGGTGCCGGTCCCGGCGGGGGCATGAGGCGCGCGGGGCGGGCGGGCGGCGGCGCGGCAGAGCGCGGCTCGGCGCGGCCCTGAGCGGAGCCTCCGCGCCGCGCTCCGCTCCCGCTCAGCGACTATGGCCGGGGGAAGGCGAGGGCTGGTGGCGCCTCAGAACACGTTCCTGGAGAACATCGTGCGAAGGTCTAACGGTAAGGGGGCACCGCGGGCGAGCGCTCGCCGGCCGCCGGGAGCCCGCCGCGTCCGGGGACAGCGCCGGGCGGGGGGCGCCGAGCCCCGGCCGCTGCCGGGCGGCTCCGCCGGAGCGGCGCGTCCAGGTGCCGGAGCCGGTGCCGCTGCGCCGCCCGGGTCCTGCCGAGAGCCCCCGGGCCGGGCGGCGGGGCTCGGGCTGCAGGTGCGCCGGCACGGCGGGCGCCCAGCGAGCCCCGGCCGGCCGTTATCCGCGCCCCGGGGCCAGCGGGGGCAGCGCCCGGCCCCGGGCGGGGGGATCGGGGCGTCCGGAGAGCGGCGGGGGCGGCGGCGGCTCCGGACCGGGAGGGGGTGCGGGGATTCAAGATGGTCCCTGGGCTGGGAGAGCCCGGTGCGGGGGCAGCGGCAGGGGCTGCCGGCCCGAGGTGAAAGGGAAGGGTTGTCGTAAGTGAGGAGAGAGTTTGCCATTTTAAGGGCTGAGGGCAGATATTGCTTTTTTGTTCTTTTTTTTCCTAGTGCACTGTAACCAGGTCTGTCTCTTGGAAAACTGTGGAGTGGAAAATGCCTCGAATTTCACAATTGCATGCAAATATGTATTAATGCTATCCAGATTCTTTCACTTAGGGACTTACCAAAAGCTGCTCCCTCTGTAAGCCGGCGACCATGCAAGCGTTCATGGGTTTGTTTAACCTAGGCATGTGCATTTCTTTTAAAGCCCTGAGCCCAAGTTGTGCCATTTTTTGATGTTCTGGTGACTTCAATGGGGTTACTTCAGGGATTAAGAACTTGTAGTATGGTTGAGAATATGAAGATCAAGCTTCTTTTGAAGACACGATGAGTTAATTAATTAAAAACATAGTCAGTTTGTTCTGATAAAGCAAAGACAATTAACCCTCTTGATAAGCAGCTAAAACCTCAAATGATCCCAAGAATGATTTTCAAATTTTTTTAATTAGGCAGTGTTATTGGAGAACTAGCCTTTGATAAGAGCATATTTTCACATAAAATTCTGAGGCTCTTTTTATAGGTTATTTCTCTCCGCAACTTTCCTGTAGAAGGAAGGGGGCTGGAGGCTGCGTTCCTGAAAAAATTACTTTCCAGTCTTACAGTGAATCTTACCCTCTTTTTTTTTTATGTCTTTAAAAATGAATGTTACATGTCATCACATTCAGGCTGCTTCTCTAATCTTCCAACAACACTTATTGAAGGTTTTTCTCAAAACTGTCTCGACTTTGTAGATTATTTTCTTCATTAAAAACCAATTTCCTCTTTTGGCTTTCAGTGCCAAAGCCTCGCTGCAAAAAATCAGTTGAGGCTTGGAGATGGGAGGAATCATGCAGCAGAAGCTGTGCTCTGTTTCTTCCTCTCTTCCCCCATTATTAAGAAGGTGTCATAACAGAGTGTGGTGCTAGACAGCACAGGTAGAATGACAGCACTCCATTTCTAAATGCTCAGCAAGTCCTGAGGGCTGTAATCAATACAAGTTTTTAGACTAAGCTTGGTGGGAAGTGATGCACAGTTCAGACATATGAGGATAAGCTTAGGGAATTGACTCAGGTTTAGAACCTTATTTCTTCTGTGATGTGCCTTCAAGTGTTTGCTGGACCCAATCCAGCTTTGCTGGAAATGTGGTGCTGTCACATACCCGTGTTGGAAGAATCAGTTTTGTCTACCCTTAGTCTGTTTGTAGAGACAAGGATGGACTCCTTTCTCTCGTGCTGAGGCAGGGCTGTGCTGACCAGCACGGGGGCAGTATGGAAACATGCCACATCTCATCTTGTCCTGCCTGCTTGGCCATTGAGGTGATTTGGGATGCCCACAGGATGAGTGCTTAAATGGTCCCATAAAGCTTGAGGTTTGGCTCCTCTTTCTTGGTTTTGTTCAATTGGGCAGTAATGTGACCCACAATGAAGCTGTCTACGCCGTTTGGGATTTGCCAAATAAACCTTGGGCTTCTTGTCAAGCTTGTATTTGCTGGCACATGCAAGTAAGTTGAGTAATGCCAACAGATATTGGGTGATACAGATATAGGAATGTTCCTAATTTGCAGAGGATTCCCTTTGAAAGAGAGGAATTTTGTCATTGAACAGAAATAATGGACTAAGTGCTTCATGTGAAGGAACTTGTACATGATGTGGGTATCATCAGTCATAGGTGGACAGAGGAAAGAGTGTTTTGGGGCAGGGGGTGTTAACTCAGTGGCAGGGGCTGTATGGTGGTTACAAAGGAATGGACATGCAGCTTCTCTTGCAAGCATTGCTCTAAGGACAGCACTAATTACATCTTTATTTTACCAGTAGTTTTGACAAGGAATTCTTTGGACAGCCTTTCTGTCATGTTAGCTATGGGACTGGTGAGCTGATGCACATTCTGTGGCTAAAGCAGTGTATGTAGACGTGCAGGTCAGGGGTTTTGCCGCTAGGGTTAAAATTTGGCTCATGTTCATAGCACACGTTCTGCAGCAGGACTCACCTCCAGCTCCTTTGGTCTGAATTGTCTGCTCCAGAGTTATTAGGAATGAGAGCTTCTTCACAGGCTGCAAATCAACTGAGACAGGCTCTCATGCACTGAATGCCAGCCAGAAGAGCTGTGCTAGGGTTAGAGCTGCAAAGCACTGCCTTCCCACACTCTGGAGTAAAGAGAGCATGCCATGGCTTAGGTAGCACACATGGGAAAGAACATGCAACCTGTCATCCTCTAGACCTGTGGACCTTGTCTGGTCCTCTGTGATTTCTTCTCACACAAAGACCTTTCTGCACAAAGTGTGAGCTTAAGGTTTGTCCCTCTTTGAAATGAGGGACGCCATAATTCTGATCATCTTGTATTTAATGTTCAAAATATATATTTCTATACTAGCCATGCAGAGCTAGAAAAAGAAATGTTGCGTGCAGTGGTTGGCTGACAAAAATTTCTTTGAAGCAGTGAAATATTTAAAGACCAGAACACCCAGTGGGACAGAAAATGAGCCCATGCTGTAACCCAGTGCAGTATATAAAGAATCACTAGCCCCTGATGGTTACTGCTAATGTGATATTAATGTTTTTCTTGGTAATGTAATACATCCACAGTATACAAGCACTGTAATAATAACAGTTATAAACCTGGATCATGGCCAGGGCACCCAAGTCAACTGGTGCAGCTTATTGTAGAGGTTATTTGTGGTATTCCAATGCTTTATCAATATCTGCAGAAAAAAATGGTTTTGATTTATGTAAATGTCAGCCAAATTCTTCAGTCCTTCCTTGGTCAGGATTCTCATTGAGATGTGTGATAATTGTGCATGTATAAGGATGGCAAAAGTGTGTGTTTAGGTGGCTTTGGAATTTCAGTGGAAGTCACAGGTGCTTTTCTGATTTATGGACAAAATAAGGAGATTGGAAGAAGAGTAAGTTAGAAGGCATAAGGCTTGTGTGAATTTAATTTTCCTTTCACAAAATCCCCTGGGAACACACTAAGGAGACATCAGTTATGGAAGCAAACCTGCATCTTTTGATGGAGAATGCAGAAAGTTCTCTGTAGAGGGAAAGAAAAAGCACCTTCAGACATAGATCTTGAGTATAACAGACATTTGCATTATTTATGGCATTGCTTTCATTACAGGCTATAAAATTCCCAGTACAATAAACATTTTGCATCCTGGGCATGCTAACCTTGTACCATCATCTGAGACCTAGGAGAGAAATTAACTTTATTGTAAACACTTCTGAAACTGAAAAGACTGTTTTTGTGTTCAGCCAGAGAAAAATGCAAAGGAAACTTAACAGAGAATGAGGAATGAAAACAGCAGACCTTCAGAAACTGCAGGCGGACAGTTTGTAGGTTCTGTGTTAAGGACATTTTCCCAGAAGAGAATGAAACAATGGGTTTTACTGCTTCCTGATCTTCCTTCTTTCCCATGTTAACAACTTTGGAGACACATATATTTTCATATACATTTTCATCCATGCTTTTCTCACAGTTGATCAGTACATTGAAATACCAATTCACTACTGACAATCTTTTTTTCTCAGTATCACTGGAATTGAACGTAAATTTTTTTTTCTACTGGCTTTCACTAGGCCAGAAGTCTAGTTTTGAATGTGCAGCTTTATGCATTTAGGAATGTACGGCCTGATTTTGTTAAAATTACTTTTATAGATAGTAAGGGAAAAAATGTACAGCACAGAGATGACAGGTAATGTGCTTTAAAATTAATGTTCTGAAAGCTCAAGAACTTCTCCTGTGATAATTCAATGTATCAATCCAGTTTTACATTAAATCCTAGAACAAGATTATAAAACAAATCTTAATGAAACCCACTCGTTGGAGAATTGGTTAATGCATTTTTGTAACTCATAGGTAAAAGTGAGTGGGGAGTTAGGTCTTGTCTCAAATATTTTTAAGGCTGTAATCAGTAAATCAAATGGCATCTTTAAACTAAGAAAGACTCATAATCAATGCAATTAAAGTATGCCTTTTCTGGATTAGTGTTCAGATCATATGGGATGGGAAAAACAAACCCCCTGACCAGCTGAGTGATGAACCCTCACTGCTAAACAGTGGTTTTGTCCTTTAGTAAGAGTGGTGCAATGTCTGACTCTTACCCACTGATGAACTTTTTCATTTCTGAAAATCACCTAATCATCTCATTCTAACATCACATGTGTGTAAATGTTGTGGGATTTGTGTTTTAGTGTTTATTTTTGGTTTTTTTGGGGGGGGGCGGGTATGTTGGATTTTTAGTTTCTCAATATCGATAGTACTTCAAGGATAGGTGAAAAATCATGCTGTCCGTAAAATACAATGGACAGCACCTTTGGCACAATTTTGGTGCCATTTCAGCTATTCTTGTTCTGTTATTCTGCAGTAATATGCTTTATTTTAAAAGTATAGGTAATTATGGAGATTTTATAGCTACAAGTGTTAGAATGATGCATAATTTTCAATTTAAGCTTTTCTTATGGTAGATGCCTGCCATGAAATATTTTCTATAACAATGCAAAGTAAGAATGTTGAGATGGAA